ATTTCAGTCGTCCTAGAAAGTCAAAATTCTGAAATTTTCTAGTCAAATGCAAAACTAACATACGACGACTGAAATATCAGTCGTCTAGATTCTTAAGATATTTTTTTGTAGCCAAAATAAAGCAGATGACTGGAATTTCAGTTGTATCTGGAAACAAATTGCAAAGTCAATTGCAAAAATAACTTCTGCATTGAGTGGACGAAAGCAGACGATTCAGTCGTCTGGACGAACAGATCGCAAAAAATAACTCGATTTCATACCTTCAATTGGTGAGAGCACTTTCTTTGACTATATGAACCCTAGAAAATGTAGAATCAAGCACTCAAGAGCTCAAACGAAGGTAATCCACCTTGAATCTTTAATTTCTTTGACTATATGAACCCTAAAAAATGTAGAATCAAAATCTTGGGTTTTTTTAGCTCATTGTGGAGAGAAAGTGAGAGATATGTGTTGTTTAGTTCATGAGAATAGAGAAAGAAGAAGGGTAAATGGAATTTGGAGGCATTCAGAGCTTCAAAATTGGTTGTTCATGGTTGTTGGAGTATTGATGACAATGGCAATCTTGTAATTACTTGAAGATGATGAGGGTGAGAGAGTAAATATGTTATTTTCGAAAAAAAAAAAAATTGATGGCATTTTCGTGAATTATATGAACTTGTGGGGTGAATTGGACAAAATAAAGTTCCAAAAAAAAGGAGGTTAGTTTTGTGGTTGACTTCAAGTTTCAGGTCAATTCTACAAAAAACCCTATTTTTTTTTTGGAACAATACAAGAAAACTGTCTATAAAATTAGGGGTAGGCACAAGCCTAGTACTTGGTGTTTTCGATATACTTAGTACTCGGCTTGGCTTGTATGAATATTCAAATTTAGGACTTGTACTTGGTTTGTTAAAAACGAGTATTAGTATTTGTGAAAATTGATAGACTTGCAAGTTACTTGCCTTGTTTTATTATTTGTTATTTGTAATTTTGTTACAAATTACTTGATAAGTATTGGTAAATTATTTGATAATTAGTTAAAATTTAAAAGTAAATAAATTTATTATATATAAATAATATGCCATTTTTTTATTTTGGCATTGTTTTCTGATTTTTAATCATTCGTGAAATAAATTATATTAAGAAATAAAAAATTCCAAAATATTTATATAAATATCTCACATATGTTTGATTCACTTATAAAAAATTGAAGTATAAACGAATTGTTTTTACGATTATTTAGGAAAATGTATTTTTTGTTCATTGACAAAAACGAATAATAAACCAAACAACGCTGAATAATTATTTTTACTTTATTATTTTTTATATGTTTGTATTTGAAGGCCGTTTAAATAAAGTTTGATACACATCTTAGTCAAAACAAGTATTCGAATTGAAGTATAAACGAATTGTTTTTACGATTATTTAGGAAAATGTATTTTTACTTTATTATTTTTTATATGTTTGTATTTGAAGGCCGTTTAAATAAAGTTTGATACACATCTTAGTCAAAACAAGTATTCGAATTTAAGGATCGTGTACCAACCAAGTAGTGAATATGAGGCAAGTAACAAGTAATTGTAGCCGCTCATAAAATACATAAATTTGAATTAACTAAAGAAATATATACTAAGTATTTAATAAACCAAATAACATATGACAAGTAACAAATAAATGATAACAAGTAATAAACCAAGTAACAAACCAAGTAGTTAAAAATTAAAATGAACTTGATACTTGACTTGTACTTGCGAGTAATAAAATCCGTTTACTTGTTACTCGACTTCAATGGAACAGTACTTGTTTTTTTAAACCAAACCGAATCAAGTAACGAGTACAAACCGAATATCAAACATTTATGTCCAGTCTATATGAAATGGAGATTGGTTGGGGAGATAATATGGTCAACTAATTCGCTAATACAATGATGGATGTTGTTGAACCAATAGAACATGATCGACAATGAGACATGCTCATAATCTTTGTTCCCATCACCAATTTCTAAGTTAATCTTTGTCAAGTGTTTCTCTTCTTTTGTTATGTACATACTAGGCTGCTATTTTATGTCGGTTTCTCTTCTATTAAATGTTTTAAAATACTAATAGTGAGGACACAAAAGAAAGATAATGTAATTGTTGACTAAACTTTTTTATTATGAAGATTTTACAAATATTCAGTCTTATGTACTTATTATTATTAAATTGAAATCTAAAGTTGTCAAATCAAAATTGGTTTAATATTTATTTTCTTTTACCATATGTAGATATGTCGGTTTCAACACAAAAATCCTATGCTTAGCATGTTTCTATGTCGATCATGTTCTATTGGTTCCAGTACTTCTTCCAAAATCCAGAATACTTTTCAAATGTTTGTTTTTAGTCCACTATATATGTAATGCAATCGACATCATCAACAATCTTTTTTATTTGTTGATGGTACTTTCCATTATATTGTACATCCTTAAAATTAGCACATGTTTTTTTTTTTTACTTTTATAGCAGCCAATTACATTGGGATACCTATTACATGTAGGCCATACAAGGTGGTCGAATCACTTCTAGATGTGAAACTTGTTATAACGTAAGTCGTAACATACTCCGTTTTTGAAAAACAAACCACGTTTTGGAATTTTCACACCTTGTTACGAATTAGTTGCACTACCAAATATTGACTTGATTTTACTTGAATTTCTTAATTTATTTAGTATTTACACTATTGAACTTATTAGTGGTATGGGTGTGTTAGAGCAATTTTATGGGTGGCTTATCTTGATTTATCTTGTTTCTCACTAAAGATCTAACAATTAAAACAATAGATATTTTAAAAAGTAGGACAAATGAAGAGTAAGAATTAGATACTTCGTTCATTTGAGAAAATATGAAGGAATTTAATCAATTCAAAAACCATTAGCATAAATTATTCTCATGATTGTTAGATATTTAAAAGCTTATATATGATAATTTTGATTTTAATTAAAATACATTTTATTACATAAAATAATCTTGAAACATTCATATACGTATAAAACTATATACATGGATTTATCTTTATTTTAAAAATATTATGATGTAAAATATTTTTTGATAATATAATATATATATAATATTTTTAGATAATGATGATTTACAAATTAATGAATGTTTTTTTAATTTATGAGTATTATATATTAACAAATCTAATTAGTTATTTATTGAAAATAATAAAAACTTTAAACGTTCTAATTTTGAATATGAGATTGAAAAATCACTTCACAAATAACATTATAAATATTTTTGAATATGTTTGCTAGTTTTTCCAAAAATTATCACAATAAATGATTTTAATTGTCCCAAGATAAAAAACAGATAGTTCATTCTATCTTAAGCGATATATTAAAATAGAGCAAGTTTAATATTACTAAACCAAATACAATATAAATAAATATGTAAATATATAATATTTTAATGTTATTTAAGTAAATATAAAATATTTAACTATGATATTATTGTTAACATTTTAATTATCCTCAAAATAATGCTAAATTATCAGTTAAATAACTAAAATTATTTATTAAGATTTATAATTGACCATAAAATATGATTAAACCTAAATTTATGGAGAGCATGACAAATCATCAAATTCACTTCTCAAATTTAATATTGATAGTTATAGCTATTATAAATATTATAAAGTTAAATATATATTTTTAGATACTCAATTGATGATGATGCTCTTTAGGAATAAAGCCTAACACAAAAATGACAGTGATATTTTATTAATCAAGTTAATAACACAAAGGTTTCAAAAAATGAAGCTCAAGAACTTATACATTCATACATCAAAACATCAAAGATAGCATTCTAGCAAAACGCTTCCACCTAATTGCTTAGATTGCAAATCTTTCACAGCTTTTGACTCTAACCAGTTCATCGACAACGGTACCTGTCTCTCGTCCTCTTTCACGCACCACTCAGGCAAAACCTCAACCACTATCTTCTGCAACAGCTTCTGCTCAAACCCATCTCTAAGAAGCATTTCAAGGTCTTTAATGTCTCCCCTCAAATCCAACAACACACTGCATAGTCCACGACGATAACAGTAATCCAAGATGGACTCCAAATTTATATTTTGCAATACAACTGTTTCAACCCCGCTACTGCTGGTTCTGGATTCTGCATCCAGTTCCTTTTTGGTGAACACTACAACTTTTGGACCCGAATCTTCCACCAAGTTGGAAGAAGCAAGTATAGGAGACTGTTGTTGTGCATTACTAGCCATTATGATTTGGATAGGCTGGATTGAAACATTAGCTTCTTCTTGTGAGGAAATGGTGGAGAGTTTATCAGCTAACGAGGAAGAAAGTATTAGGGCGTCGTACTCTTGTAATAGCTTTGAGTAGTATCCACCACTATCAGAAGCCCCTTCCCCAATCTTGTCGAGAAAACAACCATTGAGAGACATAGAATACCTGAGAGCGAGAAAAGGCTTTGCTGTTAACATTCGATGGATGAATCCCTCATTCATCTTCTTGCAAAAGTCTTGTTCAACACCAACAGTGACATCAATTCCAGCGTCTCTTAGACGAGTGATACCAGAAGAAGAAACGATTGGATTAGGATCAACCATCCCAATCACCACTCGTTTGACCTTAGCTTTGATTAATGCTTCTGTGCAAGGAGGTGTTCTCCCGTAATGATTACATGGTTCTAAGCTAACGTAAGCGGTGGCATTCTCAGCTAAGTCTCCAGCATCTCTAAGAGCAAACACCTGACAACGCCAAGAACAACTTTCAACAAAAAATCAAACTCATTAACATATCTACTAATCTCCAATTTCAGAATCAGAGAGCTAACATAAGTAGTGGCATTTTCAGCCAAGTCTCCAGTAATCTTGAAAAGGAAACACGTAACAATGGCAAGAACAACTTTCAACAAGAATCTAACTAACTGATTAACATCTACTAATCTCCATTAACATGGTTTCAAGCTAACGTAAGCAGTGGCAGTCTAAGCTAAGTCTCCAGAGGAAACAATAAACAATGGCAAGAACAAGTTTCAGGAAGAATCAAGGTCATTAAGATGTACTAATCTCCAACTTCACAATCATAAGCAGTGTAATTCTCAGGAAAAGTCTGGAGCATCTAGAGAGCAAACACCTAAGGATGCCTAAGAACAACTTTAACCAAGAATCAAACTCATTACCACATCTAAGCATATACAATTCCACCACAATCATAAGAAACACAAAATGCAACAATACATAAAGTCTTGTCATTTTCCAACAAGAAAAACTGCAACATTTTATGATGGTTACCTCGGCGTGAGGCTGACCAGCTTTGGGATGAAACCCTTGGCCTACAATTTCACCGTCTTTGACAATGACACAGCCTACCAAAGGATTAGGACTAGTACACCCAGTTGCTCTCTTCGCCAGTTCCACGCATCTCCTCATATAAAACGCATCATCATCATCAATAATACAATCTTCTTCGCTTCTCATGGCAGCCAGAACAGGAGCTTTGAAACCAGTTCGTGATCTATGTGACGACCTCTTGAAGGCTATGGTGGAAAAAGCGTGTTCTGAGTTCTGAAACGAAGCTATGTTAAAAACAAGGCGATGATTTGAGGATAAAGATGGAATTGAGGCTCGGGGAGTGACTGAAGAAATCTGAATTGGGAGACATGTGATCTGCATATCACTATTGTAATCGAAAACTCCCTTTCGAAATGTTGATAGCGTATCTGAAGTCAGATGGAACCTCGACGAATGGATTTCAGATTCGAGCCGTCTCCGGCTGGAAATGTACAGCAGCGGCGGGAGAGAGGAGAGAGAAGAGAAGAGAAGTCGAAGACGACGATGAGAAGATTTGGGTTTTTGTATTTTCAGTGAACCGGTTTAGTATAGAAAACCGGGAATGTCCACCTGTTTAATAATATGCTAATTTGATTTGGTTCAATCTATGGAAATTCAGGTATTCCAATCCGGTTTGGTGAAAACCAATCGATTCCAGACAGGTCGTCATTTGGGTCGAAGAGTTTTGGATTCTACTTTAAATTTTCGTTTCATCGTTTTTTCATAACAACATCGGATGTCGGGTCGGATAGTACCCCGAACCGAAGCCACATCGAATATTGTAGACATATTGGAAACCGAACCGGTTTATCCCAGATTAGTTCCGGTTTTTTTTAATAGCTACCGGTTTAATAGGCTATTTGATCTGTAAATCATCCGGTATCATTCAAGGACATGATCTAACAACTTCCATTCACTCATGTGATATGAGCAGATTCGTTTTTTAACAGAGAAAAATGTTACAAAAGAAAACCAACACAAGACAACACAACCTTAAAATCAAGACCATGCTAACAAAAGCATGCAACTCCAACCTACAAAAACAAAAAACAGAAAGAGAGAGAACAATGTTCCTAAATAGATGATAAATCTTCATATATGGTCTTAATACCAGATCTCTCAGAAACTGGTCTTATACACCTCAAAGCAACCCCAAGTACCTCCTTCGCACCTTTCTCTGTAACAGCATCACTTCCCATCTCCTGTGTCAACACCGAGTCGAAGCACTCCACACCCCTTCCTTCAGCAACACGTAACCTAACCCAATCAGTTAAATCAACACCTTCTTGTTCACCTGTGATCACAACTCCTGCACATCTTCCCGTTAAGATCTCAAGAAGTATCACACCAAACGCATACACATCTGCTTTGAAAGAAGGTAACGGTTTCCTCGAAGCTGCTAGCTCAGGAGCTCGGTAACCGAGGATGCCTGCGTCTAGGATCTGTTCCACGGTTCCTGCTTGTGTCATGAGACAGTGGAGGCAGTAGTCTGATACACGTGCGTGTAGCTCTTCTCCTTCTAAGAGAATGTTTGTTGCCTTGATGTTACCGTGTAGAACTGCTCTGTCGAAATGGAGGTAGTTTAGACCACGTGCTATATCAACTGCTATTTTCAAAACCGTTGGATCCATGCTAAAGGAGTGCCTTTCCTGCCTGGTCGATCTGAAAAAAAAAGTCAAACAAGAATCGTAACCTTGATCAATATAGTTAGGCCTGGGCACATTTATCTGGAACATAACCAAACCAAATACAAAGTTCAGTTCGGGTTCAAATCCTATCAATTACATGACAGGATTCTATATCTTTAGAACCAAATGGATACCCAAATTTCTATAATGTAATTTATATACTTATAAATATTAGTTATATTTCTTTTAAAAGTAATCAAAAAAATTAAAAATACTATTTACAAACCGAATTACCCAAATAGTTTTTATTAGTTATATTAAACATTACCTTACTTACCTGAATTTTTATTCAAAAACCCCTGAAAACCTTGAATTTTCTGATTTTTTAAGTTGAATTAACTGAAAAAACCGGAACCGAACTAGACTCTGGAATGATTTCAGATATTAGCTGGTTCCCAATTTTGTTATCCAAACCGAACTAAAACCAAAATAACCGAACCATAAACCCTAACTTATCCTATATTCTAGAACCAAAAAAAACTAAATAAACCAAACGGATACCCAGAATGCCCATGCCTAAATAGTGTATAGTGATAGCGAAGTCTAATGAAAAGAGTATTACCGTAAAGGAAGCTAGCAGACTTCCAGGGGATATATAATCTGAAAGAATAAGCTTCTCATGTTGCGTAGGACCCCAGTAGTATCCTCTAAGAGTCACAACATTAGGATGTCTAATGTTAGCAAACTTCTTCACTTCTTTAGCAAACTCTTTTCTCTGCTTCGCCACACCTTCTCTTAACCACTTCACTGTTAAAAACACTCCATTATCAAGCGTTGCCCTGTAAGAAGTCCCATGGCTACTTCTTCCAAGAACTTCAGCTGGTGCTCTAGACAACTCCTCTGGAGTAAGTTTGATTGACTCATCTAGAAACTGAAGCTCTCCCACAAGTCTATCTGGTGACCTAACATCAAGCCTTGCTAGTTGCTGATCAGCTGGGAGTGAGTCTCCTGAGCCAGGTGACCAAGATAAGTTACTTGTTTTGGAAGGAGAGAAGCCGGTTGTTGCAACGGCTAGTTTCTCGTCTGGACTGAGGATTCCTGATGACGAGCCTTTCTTTGAAGTAACGAGATCCTCAGCAGAGATAACAGTACCACCTCCACTGCCTGAAGGGACTGTTTGATCCCGCATGTTAATATCTTTACCAGTGATACTACGTTCGTCACGTCTTCTTGATTTGCAGATGCAAAACAGGAGAATAGCCACAAGGATGAGGATAATTAGAGCAATGCCGCAGGACACTATTATGACAACCTTAATTAGTAAGTTCATTGGTTTCCCCTTGGAAACTTCTGATGCACTTGTTGATCCAGGAGGCATGATGAGCATACTATTTCCAGGATAAAAAGAAGGTGGAGGGAAATTCTTCAGATTCTCAGGCACAGTCCCTGATAGATCGTTGTATGACACATTAAAGGATACAAGGCTGGTAGATAAGTTGCTTGGGAGTGGTCCAGTGAAATGGTTCTGAGATACATCTAATGAGCTTAGAGAGACCATGTCATCCATTGAGCTAGGCAAAGATCCAGACAAATTATTCGCTGCGAGATTCAGCACTTGAAGTTTAGTTAAAGATCCAAATTCAGAAGGAAGATCTCCATCAAACCGGTTGTGAGAGAGATCAAGAAGACGGATTATGGATCCAGAAGAGGTCATGGGTCCGATGTTTCCACTCATGCCATTGTTCTGAAGGTGGATTTCCTCCAAAGTGGGAATGGATAGTAATGTACTTGGGAGTGACCCATCCACGTAAAAGATTTTGAGTGTAATGAACAAGTGTTTGTTTTTACTGAAACTTCATAGATTCATTTCTCGTTGCAAACATATTACAAGAGTTTCATATTTATACACAAAGAGTAAGATAGTGTTTCCCTAGACAGATGGCTTAATCTTGAGCGTTCTGTAGATCAAGGGCAGAGAATCGATTTGCCAGCTTCACGCCATTAACTCCCTCTGTACAAGCTCTCGTCATACTCTGCTTTTGTACTTTGCTTTTGACCAGACATGAAGCTTGCGCGGCAGATTCAAACTTGGGACCACTCAAGTTGGGTTTCTTCTCATTCGCCAAGATGGGCTTCTTTTCATCCGCTAGGCCCATCTTCTGTTTTCCCTTTTGGTCTCTTGTCAATCCACTGCCGTTTAGAGAGCTTTCTTTAATATGCCCCCTCAAACTTGGTGTGGCTTCAACACCAAGTTTGTATCAGAGATTGTCGAAAGCTCTGAATGTGAGTGGCTTCGTGAATATGTCCGCGAGCTGATGACGTGCTGGAATATGACTCACGATCAAAGCTCCAAGTGCAAGTCGTTCTCTCACATAATGATAGTCTAACTCAAAATGCTTAGAACGCTTGTGATATGCAGGGTTTGCTGTGAGGTGCACTGATGACAAGTTATCACAATAGAGTTCCGGTGTAGCAGTAATAGGAACTCCAATTTCTCGAAGTATAGAACACATCCAACTCAGTTCTGCTGCAGTTTCCGACAAGGCTCTATATTCTGCCTCCGTTGAACTCCTTGACACTGTTGGTTGTTTCTTTGATGACCAAGAGATTATGTTTGAGCCAAGATAGGTACAAAATCCTCCAGTTGACCGTCGTGTGTGATGGCATCCGGCCCAATCACTATCACTGTATGCTCTCAACTTGAAATCTGTATCTTTGGACAGATTAATTCCATAACTGAGCGTTCCTTTTACATACCTCATGATCCTCTTTAGTAATACAAAATCTGACACCGTTGGCTCATGCATCTTCTGGCACACATAATTAACTGAGTACTGCAGATCAGGTCTAGTAAGAGTGAGGTATTGTAGCTTACCCGCGAGACTCCGAAAGTAAGTAGGGTCATTAAACTTCTTGTCTTGATTAGGAACTTTACTCAGCTGCAAAGGAAGAGGTGTGGCAACCGGAGCACAATCAGTCATCCCCGCCACTGCAAGCATATCCATAGCATATCTTTCTTGGGAAAGAAACAAACCGGACTCATGAAAAACTGCTTGAATTCCCAAAAAATAATGCATCCTTCCTAAATCCTTCATCCGAAACTGCTTGTTAAGATCAGCTAGCAACTGTTGTAACAGGGCATAGCAATTCCCTGTTAACAGCATATCATCTACGTACAAGAGAAGCATTATGATGTTCTTCCCTTTTGTGTAAATGAACAATGACGGATCCTTGATGCTGCACACAAACCCAAACTCCAGCAAGAAAGTACTAAACTTATCAAACCATGCACGAGGAGACTGCTTGAGTCCATACAAAGACTTGTGGAGAAGACACACATAATCTGATTTAGTCTTGTCTACAAACCCTGAAGGCTGTCTCATGTAAACCGTTTCATGCAAGTCACCGTGTAGAAAAGCATTGGCCACATCAAGATGTTTTATTTCCCACTGGAAGACTGTTGCAATGTGCAGAACAATTCTAACAGTTGAAGTTCTGATCACAGGGCTGTACGTCTCCAAGTAATCTACGCCTTCTTCTTGACCACAGCCCTGAACAACCAAACGTGGCCGCAGTGACTTCACAGTACCATCAGCGTTATATTTTGTCATGTGAATCCATCGGTTTCCTAACACATGCATATCTGGTGTATAAGGGACCAGAGACCAAGTATTAGTCAAATTGCAGTTATCAATCTCCTCTGTCATGGCGTTGTGCCACCCTGGGTGTTTTAATGCTTCTGCCAATGTTCTTGGTTCAGGACTGGACACTTTGTGTGTCAGTAAAGCGTACCTAGGGTTGGGCTTCACTATCCCAGCTTTGAGTCTTGTTGTCATTTGATGTTGATTCAAGTTAACCGGTTGAGGTGAGACTGTTGTGCTACCGCTTGAGTCTCTTGTTATTGTCAAAGGAGTTTGTGGTGTTACTGCACTTGGCGACCTTGACTCAGTTGACTGACTTGGGCTTCTTGAGTCTAAACACTCAGCATATCCTTGACCCGACAGGACTGGTACGTTGTGAGTGACTGACACTGATGTTATATGATCAGGAGCATTACTCGATGGAGACTGAGTTTAAGAAGGTGATATACCCACACCTTTGTACCATGAGGCAAGCAAAGGAGTCGTTGCTGGAGGGTGTAAATGTTTGTAGATGTCTGAGAATGGGAACTTGGACTCATCAAAGATCACATGCCTGCTAATATACACACGTCCAGTAGGGGGAAACAAACATCTATATCCCTTGTGTTTCTCACTATATCCCAAGAAAACACAAGTCAAAGACCGAGGATCCAGCTTGTTTTGAGCATAAGGTCTCAGCATAGGATAACATGAACTCCCAAAAACTCGCATAGCAGAATAAATAGGCTTCTTTTTGTGCAGCTTTTCATAAGGACTCTTAGTTGAAGAAAGAGCCGAATGTGGAAGCAAGTTACTCAGGAAGTTCACAGTGGCAAAGGCTTCAACCCAGTATTTCTGAGGAGCTTTACTTTGAAATAGAAGAGACAACCCAAGCTCTACTATATGCCTGTGTTTTCTTTCAGCCAAGCCATTTTGCTGAGGTGTATGTGGACATGAAAAGAGCTGTTTGATTCCACATTTCTCAAGATGCTGAAGAAGTTGGTTGCTAATAAATTCACCACCCCCATCACATTGAAAAGTACCAATATTTGTTGAGAATTGATTCTGGACAAGTGATTGAAAAGCAGTGAAAACAGAAAAGAAATCTGATTTCTTCTTCATCATTCTACTAAACGAAAGTTGCTGAAGGATATGTGGATCCGGGTGTCCCAACCTCTGATGCCAAACTTCATCACTTGCAGAGACCTGTCTTGTTGAGAAGAACGCATGAAAGGTTGGTGACTTAAGAGAGTACAAGCCATTAATGCTTCTTCCCCGCAACAGAACCTTCTTGTTGACCTTATCATAGACGCATACATTATCAGCATCAAAATCAAATCCACATGGGTAATCCTTGGTCAACTTAGACACTGAAAGTAATGGTTTAGCAATTTTAGGACACACTAAAACATTATTCAATGGAAGATTACCTGAGGAGGAAGCAATGCTTGAAGATCCAGTATGTGTGATCGGAAGATACTCGCCGTTTCCAACCATCACTGAGTCTGTTCCATCATACGCGTGGGACTGATGTAAGTGATGATGATTGTTGGTGATGTGAGCCGAAGCCCCTGTGTCTGGAAACCATTCTCCTGCACCAGCTTCAGACATGTCTGCAATCCTTAAGGCAGCAAGAGCTTTATGCAACTCATCAGGCTGATAACTGTTGTTGAAACGATGCCAACACTTCATGGCAATATGACCTATCTTCCCACAAATCTGACATGTCGGTCTAGCATCTGAATCTGACGACACTGAAGACCTTGAAGAAGAACTCGAGGAGATGTGTTGAGGGAAGCCTCTTCCTCGTGTAGAAAAGAAATTTCGACCTCCTCTGTTTCTTCCTCTGTTACGATTGAAGGAAGATCTTCCTCTCTCAGTGTTGAAAGCCATGTGAGTTGAAACTCCTGTGTCGGTTGTGCATGTAACTCTGAAGTCTATCATCAAAGGCCACCAATCTTGGTACAATGTCTTCAAAGGTCGGAGAGTACGCAGCGTCCATTGTCCCCTCTATACTTGTCTTTATTGGTTCATAATCACGTCCTAAACCCAATAAAGCAGCAAAAATCTTCATCCTTTCAGGGATTGGGTTTCCAATAGACGCTAACTGGTCACATATCATCTTTATGTCTCAGAGATAGTCAGCCATAGGTTTGTCTGCCTGTTTGACGGTGGTTTGAAGCTTCCGTTGGAGCTCAAACAGTCTTGACGAGGTTGCACGGTTAAAGTGGTTCGCAAGAGTCACCCAGATCTCGTAGGAGTTCGTACAGTTAATCACTTCACTCTGGATGTCTTCTGAGAAGGAACCAAGTAACCAAGACTGAATCACCTGGTCCGTTTGAAACCAAAGAGTGTAGTCTGGGTTTGGTATCGGTGTAGATGTGCCGTTGATTCCAGGAGCTGAAAGAGTAGCGGCTGGTTGTGGTGTATCACCGGTGACAAACCCTAATAGCCTCTGACCATTCAGGAATGCTTCGAACTGACGTTTCCATAGTATGTAGTTCTTCTCTGTCAACTTAACAATACTGAGTTGATGATTTTAAGGGTAGGAGGGGTATACGGTTCCATAGATCTGTTATCCATGGAGCTCTGATACCATAAAAGATTTTGAGTGTAATGAACAAGTGTTTGTTTTTACTGAAACTTCATAGATTCATTTCTCGTTGCAAACATATTACAAGAGTTTCATATTTATACACAAAGAGTAAGATAGTGTTGCCCTAGACAGATGGCTTAATCTTGAGCGTTCTGTAGATCAAGGGCAGATAATCGATTTGCCAGCTTCACGCCATTAACTCCCTCTGTACAAGCTCTCGTCATACTCTGCTTTTGTACTTTGCTTTTGACCAGACATGAAGCTTGCGCGGCAGATTCAAACTTGGGACCACTCAAGTTGGGCTTCTTCTCATTCGCCAAGATGGGCTTCTTTTCATCCGCTAGGCCCATCTTCTGTTTTCCCTTTTGGTCTCTTGTCAATCCACTGCCGTTTAGAGAGCTTTCATTAATACCACGCTGTTGGAACTTATATCCAGAACACCAAGTTTGGGATAATGGGGTGGAATCCGTTCTGGTAGTGAGCCTTTGAGCTTATTGTAGGAGAGGTTGAGATGATTAG